AAATATTCATACTGTCTAGGTAATGAACCTTCATTCGGAACTAATGAGGGTCGCATCGTGTTGAGATTTCGTTTAAAATTAGAGTCGCCCAAGAGACACCCCGGCCTTTTCCCTTTTCCCAAAAAATCCCAAATTTGGAGATTTCGGCCGCTCCGACCCCAAATCCCAAATCCCCCGCGCGCACTTGGCGGGATTTTCGCGCTTTTTACGCGTTTTTTGGGGTTTTTTTGGGGGTTTTTTTTTGGGTTCAAAACCACTTCGGGCACGAGGTGACTCCAGGGACACCCCGGCCTTTTCCCTTTTCCCAAAAAATCCCAAATTTGGAGATTTCGGCTGCTCCGACCCCAAATCCCAAATCCCCCGCGCGCTTGGCGGGATTTTCGCACTTTTTACGCGGGTTTTTTTGGGTTTTTTTTCGTTTTAAAACCACTTCGGGCACGAGGTGACTCCAGGGACACCCCGGCCTTTTCCCTTTTCCCAAAAAAATCCCAAATTTGGAGATTTCGGCTGCTCCGACCCCAAACTCCAAATCCCCGCGCGCGCTTGGCGGGATTTTCGCGCTTTTTACCCGTTTTTTGGGGTTTTTTTTGGGGTTTTTTTTGGGTTCAAAACCACTTCGGGCACGAGGTGACTCCAGGAGACCCCCCGGCCTTTTCCCTTTTCCCAAAAAAATCCCAAATTTGGAGATTTCGGCCGCTCCGACCCCAAATCCCAAATCCCCGCGCGCGTTTAGCGGGATTTTCGCGCTTTTTACGCGTTTTTTTGGGGTTTTTTTGGGGTTTTTTTTTGGGTTCAAAACCACTTCGCGCACGAGGTGACCCCAGGGACACCCCGGCCTTTTCCCTTTTCCCAAAAAATCCCAATTTTTTTCCCAAATCCGCTCCCAGCACCTGCCAGCGCACATTTGGGGGGGTCTCCCAGCGTTCCCGAAACCCCAAAAAATTGGGATAAAATCGGGGGGAACCTCCTGAACCCCCTCCCCACCCAAATTCAACCCCCGCAGCGCTCCTACCTCTGCAAAACGCGGCTCCTTCTCCTCGGACTCATTCCCGAGGGGTTTTTTTTTGTTTTGGTGTGGATTTGAGGGGTGGAATCCTACAGAACCCTAAAAAAAAAAAACCCCATAACCCCCACCCCGTTCTTCTCTCCGTTTTTTAAAATTTTTTTCCTTTTTTTTTCTTTTTGCTGCGATTAATTCTAGCTAAACCCTCTCATTTCTCTCTTTCTCTCTCATTTTTTCTCCTCTTTTTAATTTTTTTGTATTTTTTTTTATATTTTGGTGGGCTCCGCCGCCTCCCCCTCCCCCTTTCCCCCCACCATTGTCCTTCAAGACGAGCGGAACTGCTTTTGGCAGCGCCGGGAGGCCCTTTCTGAACATTTTTTTTTTTTTTGGGCTNGGGAGAAAGTGAAATTTAAACCGCGGTCAGCTCCAAATCCGTCATAATTAATTAAAAATTAAATATTTTCATGCCAGGCCGAGCAGCAGCGCCCGGTCAGGGTCGGGGTTGGGGTCAGGGGGAATTTCTCGTTCATTCCCGAGTTTTCAGCGCTCGGAGAAAAGGGGAGATCGGGGGAATAAATCGCGATTAGAACGGGTATCGGGGGAGTAAATCGGGATTAAAACGCTTATTGGGGAAATAATCGCTATTAAAACGGGTATCGGATAAAGAAATCGCGATTAAAACGGGTATCGGATAAATAAATCGCGATTAAAATGGGTATCGGATAAATAAATCGCGATTAAAACGGGTCTAGGGGAGCCAAATCGCGATTTAAACGCGTATCGGATAAATAAATCGCGATTAAAATGGGTCTAGGGGAGCCAAATCGCGATTAAAACGATTATAGGGGAAATAAATCGCAATTAAAATGGGTATAGGGGAAATAAATCGCGATTAAAATTATTATAGGGGAAGTAAATCGCGATTAAAACAGGTATAGGAGAAGCAAATCACGATTAAAACTATTATAGGGAAATTAAATCGCGATTAAAACACTTTTTGGGCAAATAAATCGCGATTAAAACACTTTTTGGCCAAATAAATCGCGATTAAAACGGGTATAGGGGAAATAATCGCGATTAAAACGATTATAGGGGAAATAAATCGCGATTAAAACGATTATAGGGGAAATAAATCGCGATTAAAACAGTATTGGGGAAATAAATAGAGATTAAAACTGGTATAGGGGAAATAATCGCGATTAAAACACTTTTTGGGGAAATAAATTGCGATTAAAACGATTATCGGGGAAGCAAATCGCGATTAAAATACTTATTGGGGAAATGATTGCGATTAAAAGAGTATTGGGGCAATAAATGGAGATTAAAACGGGTATCGGATAAATAAATCGCGATTAAAACAGTATTGGGGCAACAAATATAGATTAAAACGGGTATAGGGGAAATAATCGCGATTAAAACGGGTATCGGATAAATAAATCGCGATTAAAACTGGTATTGGGGAAATAATCGCGATTAAAACGCGCATTCAATTGATTGTCCGGCCGAAAAAAACCACCAAAAATAGGAAAAAAAMCCCCAAAAAGTCCAGCCTGGCAGCGCCTGAGCCCGGCTGAGCCAGGCTCAGCCCCGGGCTAAGCCGAGCCCAGGAGATAAATCAGGACTATCCTTGAAAATGATCCCTTTAATTTCCTCC